CACCAGGAGCAGTTGGGGGAGCCCAGCCTGGAGAAAAGGAGGCTCAGGGGGGACCTTCTCACTCTCTGCATCTCTCTGACAGGAGGAGGGAGCCGGGGGGGTCAGGCTCTGCTCCCAGGGAACAAGGGACAGGAGGAGAGGAAACAGCCTCAAGCTGCACCAGGGGAGGGTCAGGCTGGATATTAGGAGGAATTTCTTCAAGGAAAGGATAGTATAATGTTGGAAGGGGTTTGTAGTCCCCATCCCTGGAGGTGTTCAAGGGACAACTGGACATGGCACTCAGTGCTCTGGGCTGGGTGATAACGTGGTGTTTGGTCAAAGGTTGGACTCCATGGCCTTGGAGGTCTTTTCCAACCTCAGTGATCCTGTGGAATCCAGTCCGTGCCCTGAGGGCTGGCTCAGAGTCCCCACCAGCACCCATTGTTTGGGAGCTGAAGCAATCGGAGCTGAAGCCTGGCAGGCCCTGCTCCAAGGGCTGTCCCGGGAGGGCAGTTTAGCACCAGGGCTGGACTTCGCTGCCATCATTCCAGAGATGCCTCCAAACGCAGCCAAGCGGCGCCACACGAGGTCACTGAGGTCGGGAGGGCACGGAGCCAGCCCGGGCACGCGATTTGTGAATGAGAGTGGTACAGGCAGTGCCAGAGGGAGAGACTGTGCCCCTGGAGAGGGGCTCCCTGAGCCCTTCCCTTGGAGGCAGCCGTTCCCTCACATCCTGGCGCCAGCAGGGAGCAAAGGCGTCCCACGGGCAGGAGACTGCTGCTGTCTGACACTGAAGTGGAACCACAGCACATGGCTTCTTTCCCAGCCTCATTCCAAGAAGGCCCAGTACATCCACTCCTTCCCCACCTTCTGGCTATTAGATGCTTGTCCTTGATTCACTCGCTGCCGGAGCAAGGGCTGCTCTGCCTGGGGAGTTCTTGGGGCTGCTCTCTCTGCATGAAGCAACCTCAGCTGCATTCTGGCTGGGAGCTGGGAGGCAGCAGGACTTGCTGGGACTGGGCCCACATGACAAACACGTGTGATCATGATGCTGCTCATTCCAGCTCAGCACAAGTAACACTCCCAGAATGGGTAAAGCATCGTCCAGCTTCCAGAGGGAGGGCGAGGTGGATTTGGGGTGTCTTAGTAGCTGGTTATCCCCAGCAAGGGTCTGCCTCATTAGGCAGCCAGTTTATTAGTGACAGGTAATAATGGAAACTCTCCAAATTCCCCAGGGAAGTCTGAGCACCACCTCCTCAGGAAGGAGCTGTCTCTGCCACCTGAGGAACCCAGGACTTGAGTGCCAGCCCATCCATGTCTGCAATAAAAAAAAAATAAATCCATAAACCACATTGCCCTTGGAATACCAGCAGGAAAACACCCATAAACCATATTTCCCTTGAAATACCAGCAGCAGTAGTAGAAGGAGAGAAGCCAGAGGAAGGCTGAGCAAACCCTTTCTCTCCTCAAGGGCCATGTGTGAGCTGCTGGTGATGCAGGAGCAGGGAGTGGGAGGAGCAGATAATGTTTTCCCAGGCAGGGGAAACTCCCAGGTGGAAATAGTGCTGTGCCCTGGAAACAGAGCTCTCAGCAAACAGGGCAGGGCTGGTGCAGCCTCATCTCATTAGGTGGTGCTGAACTGGGCACAGGCTCTTTTTAGACCAGAAAAGACAGGACACTGCTGACCTGGCTGCAGTGCTCTCCCTGAGCCATGAAGTGACAGGACGGGGGGAACAGCTTTAAGCTAAAAAGAGTAGATGTTTACACTGGATATTGGGAAGAAATTCTTCCCTGTGAAGGTGGTGAGGCCCTGGCACAGGTTGCCCAGAGAAGCTGTGGCTGCCCCATTCCTGGAACTGTCCAAGGCCAGGTTGGATGGAGCTTGGAGCAATGTGGTCTAGTGGAAGGTGTCTGGGGGTTGGACCAGATGATGTTTCAAAGACTCTTCTGATCCAAACCATCCTGTGATTCCAAGAACCCTGGTCTGATCCTGTGTGCACAGGGCAGGCACAGGCAGTCCTGGGAAAGGAAACCCACTAGGGAACCTCAGACCTGCAGGAGTAGCACTCTCAGCTGTTCCAGTGTCTCCTCCCAGCCCGGCCATGGACACACCAGAGGAGTAGGGAGGGGCAGGGTGGAAAAGCCAGAGGGAAGTGGCCCCTGAGCTGTGGCCTGTGGAGCCACAGGTGTCTGTGACATGGTTCGGAGGAGCTCAGCCTCCAGCCTGGGCTGCAGTTCTTATATCACTCCTGGTGATGTTGAACATTTGTTCGTTCCGCCTGTAAAACCTCTCCTGGCTCCACACCAAGTATTTCCCCACCTCAGTGCCTCAGCTGGAGCAGAGCTGTTGGAGCGTGTGGAGCTCAGGCACAGTGGCCTTCAGGAGTAATGTGCTCTTTGTCGGGTGACAGCCCCTATGTGGGCTCCCCCTTCCTGGGGGCCTCACTGACCTCACAAGTCAGGATGACAGTGAGGAGAAGGATAAAGCTTCCAGTGACTTTCCCTGTGCCTGCAGGATCCCACCCAGGGCCATCCTGAGGGAGCCTGGACAACCAGCTCCAGCACCTCGGCACAGCTGAGTGGCCCGAAGGACCTGGTTCACTTTGGGACAGAACTTCTGGAAAGCTCCAGGAATAAGGAACACTTGAACCGGTTGCCACAGCCAGGTTGGTGCCTGAGGGTGAGGATGGATACATGGATGGAGAAGCAGATTCTGAGTAGGCTCTGCCTGCAGCTCTGTGTACAACAGGACTTCAAGTTCAATTACAGAATCGTTTAGGTTGGAAAAGCCTTCTGGGATCATGGAGTCCCACTGTTCCCCCAGCTCTGTCAAGGCCACCATTAACCCATGTCCCCAAGTGCCACATTCATGTGTGTTTTGAACACCTCCAGGGGTGGTGACTCCACCCCTGCCCTGGGCAGCTGTGCCAGGGCTGGACAATCCTTTCTGTGAAGAAATTTTCCCAATATCCAACCTGACCTTCCCCTGGCACAGCTGGAGGCTGTTCCCTCTCCTCCTGTCCCTTGTTCCCTGGGAGCAGAGCCCAATCCCCCCCATGGCTGCTGCTGGAGCTTTCAGAGCCCTTCTCTGCCGGGACCTGCCCATATGGGGCTCATCAACACCAGGATGGGGACGGGACTGGCCCCAGCTGGGCATGGAGCCCGGGGCTCTGGGGTTGGAGTGAGGGGGAGGTTGGGGGTGAGGATGAGGGTGGATCGGGGGTGAGGGTTAGGAAGAGGATGACGGTGAGGATGGGGGTGAGGATACAGATGAGTGAGAAGAGGATAGTGAGGATGAGGATGACGGTGAGGATGATGATGGTGAGGGTGACGGGGGTGTCCCGCTCTCCCTTGCCCGTTCCCCGCTCCAGGCAGCGCTGCCCGCGGCGCGGCGGGCGGAGCTGTCCTTCAGCACCACGGCACCTGCCGGCCCGTGCGGGGCTGTGCCCGGGGAGCGGGGCCGTGGCCGTTCCCCTGTCCGAGTTTGTGCCCGTGGCCGTTCCCGTGGCCGTACCTATGTCCATTCCCATATCCATGTCCATGCCCGTGTTCCTGCCCATGTCCATTCCCGTGTCCATGTCCATTCCCGTGTCCATGTCCATTCCCATGTTCATTCCCATGTCCATGTCTGTTCCCATTCCCACATCCATGTCTAGTCCCACGTCCATTCCCGTTTCTGTGTCTGTTTCCATGTCTGTTCCCATGTCCATTCCCATTCTCATGCCCATTCCCGTGTCCATGCCAGTTTCCATGTCCGTTCCCATTCCCATGTCCGTGCCCATTTTTGTGTCCATTCTTGTGTCCGTTCCCATTCCCGTGTCCATTCCTGGGTCCATTCCTGTGTCCGTGCCCATTCCCATTCCCGTGTCCATTCTTGTTCGCATGTCTGATCCCATGTCCATTCCTGTTCCCATATCCATTCCCATTCCCGTGTCTGTGTCCGTTCCCATTCCCATGCTCATTCCCGTTCCCGTGTCTGTTCCCATTCCCATTCCCGTTCCCATTCCTATGTCCATTCCCATTCCCATTCCCGTTCCCATTCCCATTCCCGTTCCCATTCCCATGCCCATTCCCATTCCTGTGTGTCCGTTCCCTTTCCCGTGTCCGTTCCCATGTCTGTTCCCATTGCCGTGTCCATTCCCATTCCTGTTCCCGTGTCCATTCCCATTCCCATTCCCATTCCCGTTCCCATTCCCATTCCCGTGTCCATTCCCATTCCCGTTCCCGTGTCTGTTCCCATTCCCATGCCCATTCCCATTCCCGTGTCCGTTCCCATTCCTGTGTGTCCGTTCCCATTTCCGTG